CGATATAATCTTCATCAGTAGTGATGGTAACAATGATGATACCATAGTTATTGCTTCCCATGAAGAATTTGAATTTTAATACCTTCATATTTTTTCTCGATCTTATCCCGTCATAAGATTTACGTACACTTTTGCTCTTAAAATCTTCATCCTGTAATGAATAACTTGATTTTGTCCAGTCTTTAACCATCTCTTGTGCATAACAAATTATTCTTTTACCTCATATTAATTTGTGACATATCTTTTATTTAGTATAGGACAGTGATGTTACTTTCTTCCATAGTTATCTGTGCTAATTTTTTCATAGAAATCTGCACCTTATTTTCGTCTACTCAGATTACTTATTTCTCTCCCCGTGGTTTTCTTAACTTAAGAGGTGGCAACTTATGCTGTATGTTTATTGCAAGCTGACAGTATCGTACGCAGTAATTTTTTCCGCTACAGGTTCAGGTAAGTATCTGGTAATCATAAAAGGTGGGGATTTCTGAAAAATAGGTGGGATTTCATTTCAATTTTACTGGGAACAAGTTCTGAACTTATCTCAATAGGAACATAAATTTTTAATGATTTTTACAACCGGGTCAAAGAACTCTCTGAATATTTGAATTTTGTACTAGCTACTTATTTTCAGAAAAATTGTTGCATGAACTCCATTATTATGTGTAACACTTTCTTGTTATTCCATTTAATTTTATTTTAACTAGTGATTATTTTGATAAATAAATTCTAATTTCATTTAATTTGCATATTCTTAGAAGAAAAAATTTGCACTAACTAAGTTCTAATTTCATTTAATTTGCATATTCTTAGACGAAAAAATTTGCAAAAAATAGTTCTGGGAAAATTGTTAACATTTAATATACATTTCCTTTCCCTCATTGTTGTTACTTGTTTTGGATGTTATTAGAAAGTGACTGATATCATACGAGTTCTTACTATAAAATATTTGAATTTTGAAGTATTATGCAGGCACTTGTCAGTTTTAACTTTATCTGGGAGTTTACTACAATTGATTGCTGAATATCATCATAACATAAAAATAATTTCCTTGATGAACAAAAAAAAATATTGATCCGATTTTTATTTTATTATTTACATTTATCATGTTGATATATTGGTTTAATAATTACGTATTGTTAAACAACTTTTAAACGTATAGTCTTGGTATGTACAAGAATGCAGTAATTTTATTTCTTAAACTTCAATTACAACAAGTAGTCTCATAAATTCATAGTGATTTTTGTATAGTTTCTTGCAAATTTATGATTTTGCAAATGTATAAAAATTGAACGCAGCATTCTCTTATTTGCAAATTTCGTGCCTTCTTATGAAACATAGCGGAGTTTGAAGAATATTTTAAGCTGTTTATTTAGATCTTATCGTACTTTAAGTGTAAATCAATCAGTTTTTAAAAGTTGGCTGCTGCGAAATCATGGTGAAAAATTGGTTATGTATTTAGTTCGATAATATGTTAAGTGTCGTTTTCTCTGGCTATTGAGGGTTTTATTTTATCAAAAGTTGTTGCTGGCGTTGTTGTCTATTTTAGTTTTTTGACAAAGTTCACGTTTAAAGAAACGAGTATATTGCTAAATTTTGGCACTTTCAAGCTCACTTCCGGCTTTCTTCAATATCAATGTAAAGTTTATTGATTAGATAGGTATGTTTGTCTTAATGTGCTTAATATTGTTGCATTTTTGATGCTTTGATTGTTTGCAGCAGGTTTACCTGATTCCATAATCCACTAATTTGTGCTTTTTGTACAGTTTCATAATTCATTACCAAAATTCTCTCGTTTTCTTTTTTCTCTTTTAAGAGACAAAAGCTATGAAAACAAGAATGGTAATCACTGATATCATTTGAGACTTATGCATTATTTTCAAGAATGAAATCGAAGTTTCATTCAAATCTGAAGATGATTTCAGCAAGGTAAGCTGTGTGTGAAAGGTTAAAAGGACTTGTGTAAGTTATACGAATGATACTGCATTACTCTGTCGAGTGGTAAGTGAAGCGCGATGATTGGTGGAATGGAAATTAAATTTAGTCTGGTAATTTTACTAAAAGATGCTAATTTATTATACTTGCTTGAAATTCTTCAATTTTTAGTTTGTCAGAATTATTGCTTCAGTGTGAAATATTTTTTCTTTGAAGGTTATAAGATAGGACTGTGTGTATTGCATGGTAAAACACATGTGTAGAAGTACTGTTATTGTGTAATTATTTTCTTAGATTTTTTTCATCATTTTTTTTTGTTTGAAGAAGCAGTTATCAACAATCATTATTTTTGCATTTGTTGTGCTTTTTATTTATAAACAAGAAAAAATAGAAGTTTTTGTTTCTCGTTTGTTTATTTTTTATTTACTTATCATTTTCTAATAATTTCATGTTTATAAAGTACTTCATCACTGCATTAGCATTATTTATGAAGAATAAAAATTTTGTTGATTATTACTGTGTTCATTTGTGGTTTTCATCTATAATGTAAAGTGAACAGTAGGGAAAGTTTTACTAAAATAGCTCAGATTTCAAACTTTTAACTTATTGTTGAAAACTGAATCTGTATTTTAAACAGGTTATTATTGAAATGAGAATTCTTTAAATGATGTGATGTGTAGAACAGATTGTTTTAAGTAACATGGTTTTTTGATATCCTTTTTAGTTGATCGAATCCTTTCTCCTTTTCCTGTAGTTCAGTATTATTGACGTTTTTTAAGTGGCCTGTGTTGTTTCTAAGAAAAATTATTGGCTTATGAAAAGATGCATACGAATCATTATTACCTGTGTGACATCGACTGGAGGCCATTTGGGACGACTTGCGCAACACAGTGCATGAAAACAAGAACTGTTTCAACTTTTCACAGATGAGTTCAAATTTTTTCGCTGTTAATTGAAATCTTCCATTTCATAATTCTTGATTAGCTTATATATGACAGTTAATCAATTTAACTAAAGATTGAGCATCAGGTCATGATGAATTCAGTTAATCACAAGTTTAATGTGTAAAAAATCAAGAAATAAATGTCGGAAAAAAGGTTTAATTATCTAAGAAGTTAAATGTGATAGACTTTAAAACTTTATTTCCTTTTAATTATTATATCACAAAATATCACTTGTTTCAATATGTGTAGGATTTGTATTAATTGAGGTAACCGAGTGTGTGAGTGTTTAAGTGCTGAAATGGTGTTGGTCATAAAAGTCTAAAAATTGGATAACTAGTTATCATCGTTATCTTACCTTTAATTTATTTTCGAATCACCTTATTTGTGAGCTTTGTTTCATTTTTCAATTGACAGCTATTCTCTGTGACATGTGTCAAGATTTTTGTATAAGGACTGCGCATTTAATCTTGATGTAGCTCTTAGATAGCTTAGTGAATAAAAGAGAGCTAAATGCTTACTATAGATTTCGTATGTACTATTCACTTTACAGCTAGGAATTTCTCTCAAATGTCTTCAAAAGCAAGATTAGATTGAGTTGAGAATTGAGCTTGCAATAAGTCTGTTTAATGTGTTACGTTGCAACATTTAATTGTGAGATGAAAACGAACAGAAATCATACATTCTCCATTTTCTCCTTCATACCTAGGAATAAAAAAGAGCCAAACTTGTTAGAAAAGTATGAGTAGAACTGGGTATACATGAATGCGAAGAAGGAAGACGAGAAAAGGATGGATGGACGCACGGATAGATGGATTGCAGAATGGTTTGTATGAGTAGTGCTGCAACTACTAATACTAGTAGTACTGCAACGAGTACCAATCCTTCGCATTCTAATCGTCAATTTCATCATCAGTGTTTGTTGTATATCGTTATCATCTTTTACAGATTCCTATTTTTTTCGGCATCGTATCGCTTCGTTTCTCTGCGATTCGTCGTCATGAAGAATCTAATAACAAGAGTACGTTTGCGTGTGTTTCCTTCCTCCTCACTTTGTCATCAAATTATTCATTTATTTATTTTTATTTGTAGTGCATTATTATTGTTTTAATTTCAAATGTTGTTCAAAATTGCTCAGCTAATAATCACGCATTCGTGCGATAGTCCGAAAGCAGTTCAGACCGCGTTTTCTACTTTCAAAGCACATTTATTTTATTTCAGTGTTTGCTTTTTCAAAAAGAAGCAATGGTAGTAGTATTGAGGTGCGTAGATAATACAGTGTATACCGTGCAATAATTACAATGTGAAAGGAAATGTTAGTAAAATCACTTTTATTACATATATATTTTATATGGATTCTTTTCTAATTTTGTTTGTATATATATATATATATATATATAGCTGAAAACATTTTTTGCCTCGATGATGTGAATATATATGGTCGGAAGATCTATTCGACATGGTATGCTTTCTTGATTAAATGTAAGTAGATGAAAAGTTTTTTTGAACTGTAATGCTGACAAGTTAGGGATGTTTACTTCACGTCACTTAATTGTTGTGCGGAACAACTAGAAGTCTAAAGATGAATTAGCAGTGACTAATATGACTGAAGTTGAGAATATGCGTGTATGTATAAGTAAACAACGGCTGGAAAGTAAACAACGGCTGGAATAAAATCGAAAAATTATGAAGCAGGCTTCGGTAAGTAAACAACATATTTATGAATCAGTCATTAGCGATTGATTGTCACATTGAGTGATTGAATGGTGTGCATTTAGAATAATTTGATAATTAGTAATTGGAATTGAATAAGTGCAAATAGGAGGAGAGTATACGATGCATGTGCACCGTAAAATATAGAGCAATTTTGGATTTATACTTGTTCAAAGGCTCAGATTCAGTCTGACCAGCACGTTTTTATTCAGTAAATACTTGTTTATCGAATGCTTGTAAACACTCGCCTTGCATTACTAAATCTTATTTGTAGTTTGTTTGTAGCAAGTATCCGTACTGCTAATGTTTGGGACAGTTGTAGCAAAAAAGTTTTGTAGTTTGAGGTTTTGTCTTTCTAAAGTTAGAAAGTGCATTCATTATCTCGGAACGCACAACAAACTATCAGAGAGAGCTTTATTCAGTCATTATTTTCACAGGATATTCTTTCTGCTCATACGGACAGTGAAATCGCTTGGTAGAAAAAATGCATTGGTAGTAGTTGTGGGAGGAGCGGCAGTAATGTCGAGAAGTACTCATAAGCGATAACTGTTGTTCCACTGCTGTCCTTAACGTCGCCTGAAATGGCTCTAACTGAGGGCAAACACTGCACTGTTTCACATTAACCTCTCGCATTCTCTTTTATCATTATCTTAGCTCATTAAAAGAAAAGTAAGTAAAGATTATTTTTCGTGGCTTCCTGTAAGCGTATTATCATTTTTATGATCATGATAAATGATCATTGATCAGCTCTACTTAGTGATCCTCAGAAAGTAAAAAGTTTTTACCAACTTCTCTCTGATAACTGAGTTGTTTTACGCCTTCTAATGTGTTATTAATGAAGACGAAGAAGAAATTAGATTGGTATTTCTAAAGCTACAGCTACTCGTTTTTCATGTGGTTCATTCACTTGTTTCTTCTTCATTATTTATGATACAACAAGCTTAATTCGTAATGAAACGAGTTGTTATTTTTAAAATTCATCATAAAGGCTATAGATGGAAATGCCTGATGAATACATCACCCACTGTTATAGCGGTCATCGAGCTACATTAACTAATATTCATAATGATGATAATAAAATAATGTCGGAATTTATTCATTGTTTGACTTTTTGTTTTTCTTTATTACGTAAGTAACTTCTTATTTTCCATCGCTCTTTAATTTTTAACCTTTGCAAAATGTTTTGTTGATTTTATTTCCGATTGTTGTTTCTTTGATTTCATCAACCATAAGTCATCTGCTTTTTCTTTTGACATAAAGTGATTGTTAAGGTCTATGATGAGTCCGATTTTTATTTTGCTATGATGAAATAATTCTGCATGTTAGATATATTCATGTATCTTTTTGCTTTAGTATTCATGTATGCCATAATTATTTATGACCGTAAAATTTCATGTTAAAATCGCTCACGGCGAAATGTGACAAAGTTTATCGTTAAATTAATGTTCGTTTGCTTTCAGCAATAGGACCAAAAAGAAATATTGTAGTTATTGTGAAGCAGACGAGAAACGGGAGAAAAAAGAATAATGGTGGAAGAAGATGAAACAGCTGGTAAAACACCAGAAGAGTGTCGTGACCTTGGATTATGGGAAGTAGATTTGGTCTATTATAGTCTTTACGGGAACAATAAGGTTATTAATTATGCCTCTTTCTATAAATTATAGTAGTTAATTAGAGAAGAAGCGTTGTATGGTTAGAAGAAAATAAACCCATCTGATATCTGAGTAGGATTAATATTTTTAAGATAGTTTTATCGAAATAAATCGATACAGCGCTTATGGAATCATAAAAGCCTTTTAACATTTCCCTTAACTTTCTTAGTTTTATGTTAATTGGTTTCTATATCGCGTAGATAGATTGCAAGAATCTGCTCATTAAATTTGAAATGAAATTCTTGTTGCCATACGTATTTTTTTAAGTACATACATTGAGCGATCATTGATTCCTTAAATGTTTCGAGATTAATAAGTTGTTGAAATGACATGTTGAGTCGAACTCAGTCAGATTTCGGGGCGTCTATATCAAAAAATTAGTAAATTGATAAAAGCTTGTGATCCAACGAATAAGATGACCTACGACTAGTAACATTGACATTTTCCTATTATGTTTCGTTTATTTGCTTTTGAAATAATGATTAATCTCTTCTATTCAAGGATGGAATTTTATCAGTTTACGTTTCATATTCCTGCATTCCAAATTTTGAGCTAGTTTTTATTCTTTGTGCATCAGTGAAATTTTCTTTGAAATGGAATTGTTTTTTCGAAAAGCAAATGTAATAATGTAGTAGTGAAATAAGCATATTATTGAAATGGCTCTAAAAAGAAGGTTATTTGCTTGCATCTTTAGAGCAGGATTTTGATATTAACGACTTGTTGTCATTTCGAAATGCATTTAAAGTAACTTTACCTTAATCTAACTTTAATATAAGCCACAAAAATGAAGCCAGTTATCAGACACAGGTCAAGTGATCTTTCGTGTATATCTTTTGCTATTTTTTTAATCAAAAATCTTCATGTGATATATTTCAGAGTGAATCTTCTAAGAATAAGCGCGGCAAAGCTTATAAAGCTCGAAGTGACAGTGAATACAAGTGTTTTGAATCCCATGATGGAGTCTTGTATCGGCCAGGTGATCACGTTTTTATTGAAACATCTCAGTGCGATCCATATTTTATTGGAACAATATCTAATTTTAAAATGGTATGCTCCTCATTTTTTTTCATTTGCTTTCTAGGCGAGTGTTTTCAATTTTATTAATGTTTAATAACATGTAAATTTTTTACTCAGTGTCGCAGATCACTATTATTGTGTGAATGAAATTTGTCTTTTTGGACAGTAATATAACTGAGCTTGTAGTTATTTTGATTTCATACTACTAAGAGCTTGATAATTAACTGCTGACGGAAAAGATAAGACCCAAAAAAATATCTTAGTTACCAAGGTTCTTTTTCCTTTTTGTTTTTTTTTGTTTTTTTTTTTTGCAGACAAAAAGAGACCAGCTTTCGGTAAAAATAACGCGATTCTATCGTCCTGAGGATGTACCTGAAGACAGTTACTCACTGCTACTTCAAGATCGTCAAGACGATACATCTCTCAACCATACTGTAATGACTGCTATGCAAACTCGTGAATTGTTTTCCTCTGAAATATCATCTGTGCACCCAATCTATCATCTCAGGTTTGTTTGCTTGATTTAAGCATTACCGTCATCTACAGTTATAATCATTGCTTGTATGTCCTTGAATGATTATTGACAGACTTGCGTATTACGTTTCCAATATTGGCTTACCTACTTTCCATCCTTAATTTTTCATCTCTTTTTTTGTGAAATATAACAAAATTTAATTCGTACCTAGATAGGGCTGAAGAATTTTTGGAAGATATGAGTTCTTGGAATTAGTTCCCACTCTTGATAATCGCTTTCATAAGATTTTGACTGATGTGCCGTGCATTTATGAAACTGTAATCTCATCAAAATGTTGTGTCATAACAATGACTCTGCCAAAAATGTTATAACTTTGTAGTACAAACCTCCAGTGTTAGAAGTCAAACTCAGTTAGTTCGTGCTGCCATTGGATGAGACGAGTGTTCTTCTTAAAATTTTTAAGAGTTTAACTAGTTGAGGATGTATCATTATGTGTAAGTTCATGTGCCCCTTTATTAGTTCTAATTTAGTACTACTAAGTGCTTACAGCACACAGGTAATAACGTCTCTGAAAGTGATGAAACAGAGTGGTCAGTTTGTCTTTAGCTGAAGAGAAAGAAGTATGTAATGGCTATAGTTTATTGAAATTGAAGCAGAAACATAAAAGCACCAAAGTCATTGTCTACAGTTTCGCATCGTCATATTATATTACTCAGGATTAAATTGAAGCACGGATGTGAGGAATAGTGAGATCGTTTTAGTCATCATCATGAGACCACATTTTTGATGAAGGGAATGAGTAGATGCAGGTTTTGAAATAAGAATACTTAGGGAAGAACTGATATAGCATTCATGTGTGATTTATCACTGTGCACTCTTGTTGAACTTCGTTGACAATTGCAAGAATGATTGAAATAACCTCACTTACTAGTGACTCGCTCGTCTTCTTTTTCCTTTTACCTCTAGTTGCATGATATTTGCTACTTTGTCCCTATTCTATGCTTGTGTTTACTCTATCAATCGATTTGTTTATTTATCTGTTTGTCTGTCTATCATTTGAATTACTCAAACAAGCGTTTTCCCAATTTGGTAACACCCTCCGAAAGACGTTGAGCAGTAATGGGCGTGGCACTGTTTTGCTGCCTTTTACTATCTCTGCTTATTATTATTACTATTGTCGTCTTTATGGTCGCTCTCTTTTTCATTATTGTGCTAAATGGTCATTAGATATAAGATTAGTCTAGAAATCAAGTTGAAAACAATTGTGAATGATATATTTGTTGATGAGTTGGTTGATAAGTAACTGTTAATGTTATCTCACGTGTTATGATCTACCAATCGATTAAGTAGCAAATGTAAATTAGCAAGCAGTCACTCATATATCACTGTCTTGTGTATTATAATGGCTGGTTGTCGCCATATTTTGTTCATTGTATGTATGGATCATTATAAATTATGTACGTATACTTTGAAGCGTATATATTTTTGAAGAAACGGCTGCTTTTATAAAATGCTAACCTATGGAATGACCCAGAGACGAATAGGGTATGTTATTAGATGGAAATGATGCTACTTCTCCCATTACAGCTTGCGCCTTTATTGATCATAACTTCATCTACACCCCTTTTCACCTTTTCTTTCTCATCGTTTATTTATTTACGCACTGCTGATTATTGCTTCAAATTGTTTGAACCCAGCATTTCATTTTGCTAAAAATGATGCATAATATGATAAAGTCAGTCTGTTTCAAGCAAAGGCATCGCACATCAGTACTTGAAGGGTTTAACGGGTATTGATTGATGCGTCTTAAATTATTTAGTGAAATAACGTATGCAGTTTAATACGCTAGAGTTGGTGTCTGTTTTTGGGATATGTATATTTGTAAAGAGGGTTTTACTAATAGTTACGGGCCTTGATATTATTGTCTTAATTTCTTATTGCATGGCTTACAGTAAGTACTTCCGCTTAGTAGTTTGCTATAATTATCTGCGTGTGAAATGGCTCTCTCAAGCTGAAAGTGATTGAATCCTAAATGGATTGCTATATGTGTTCGTATTGCAGTCATTTCAAGATGTGGAATATAATTTCGTTGAGAAAGCTCACTGACATGCTCGTTTATCATTTTTATTGAGCATTATAACAAGCTACTCTCCTTGTTCTCCTCCATTTTATGCTCCTCTCATCCAATTCGTTTTATTCTTCTTTATCATAAACTGGTTTTAAGTGAAGATATTATGTTGTGTAACTTAGCTAATGTGAACAATTTAATATATTAATTGGACTAGTTTGCTAACACACGATGCGTTTTTTCTTCATTTCTTGTCTCATGGAAGTATCAAGTTATTTTTAATTCAGTTAGTAATTACTCGTTATTATATTGCCAATAATTACAATACCTAAAACTGACGAAAATTTTATGGGCATCAATTCAATGCATTTATTCTTCTTGTCTCCTACGTTTGTTGCATTCATTTTCACTCAGAAAAGGCCACGTTGAAGAAAAGAAAGGTGGGTCAGGTTATGGATTGATTAGTGTAAGTAGCGGTATTGAAAGTGAGTGTGCCAGCCGGAAAAAGGTGAGCACTTACTAGCTAATTTATTGCATGGAGACTGCTGCTGTCGTAGCTGATTCATACACGTAAAGGGCTGGTATCCTTACGTAGATCACATGTAGAAAAGTATATGCATGTTTAAATGGTGGATGAACTGAAGTGTTCAGTTTATAAGTGGCTGACGTAAGTGTAGTATTAGTGATTGTGGTTCTAAACACCGTTCTGAAAAAGATGCGAAATGGAATTTGGCTGAGAGTTTTTTTGTCAGGCCTTGATCATGCATCTTTTATTCATTAATTAGTTTGATTTTGAAGGTAATCTTGCAGTTTTCGAGTACTCTATCGTGTCTCGTTTAATACTTGTACTTATAATCATCAATGTGGCATTGTTATACGGCACTTGCACGTCATTTATTCTCGTAAATTTCAGTCCTTTTTCGAGAGTCTAGAATAACTTGCAGAATGCGCAATTTTTATTTTTAGTGTCAGGTACTTGAAGATGGATTTATGAAAACCATGCATTTTCGGGAAGAATTCAGTAGTACGATCGCTTGACAACGAAGCATAGTGCTGGATATAGTTTGCGGCGTATGATTTGTTAACATCGCATCCTTTGCAGCAGTCTGCAAGCAGACTGATAATAACGTAGCAACGGTTTGCACGTATGGTTTCAGAATTTGCATTACTTGCACACTTTCATTATTTAGTGCATGTCTTCAGTCATGTAGTAGATGTATGGGAAAACACATTGATAGGCTTCATTTTTCATCTATTTTTATGAAAGCAAGTTACGTTGCTTCCGTTGTTAAAATGTTGTTTTGCTAATCGCATTCCTATGCTTTGTTATGGTTTGACAATTTTTTCGATTTTTTTTCTGCTCAGAATCTTACCTCATCTCATTTTTGATGACTTATAATTTGTATCCACCATCTTTAATATCCAGCTTTACTGCTGCAAATCTTAGATATTAAAATGAAAGAGTGAAAGGTAGGTGGTGCAATTAAAAAACCGATTTCGTTTGATTAGTAGGAAAATAATATGGCAGGTTGTTTGTCATGTCTATCTTGACTATTTCGGTTCCATGAAATGATATTTATAAGCACGCTATCATGCTAACCTTATGCACATTTCTTCAATTGAATTGCAGGTAACAATAAATGACAAGAGCTAGGTTTGTTTGTTTGTTTGTTTTTTGTGGTGAGAATGTTTTAGGAAGCTTAAACGCTACGTGAAAAACGCGGTAGGCAGAATTCTTTTTTTTTTTT